TACGACTAAGGACACTATTAGAAAGAGAATCCGATACCATTCGGACGTGGATAGATTAGCACCTCGATACGAGGTGAAAAACAACGTCCCGTCAGCTAAAGTCGTCATCAAGGCTCTACTCAAACCGAGCGACCTTGAAGTCCCCTAAGAAGCGGGAGGTCAGCATGCAGAAATCTACTTTGCATCAAAATTACGAAGAGCGGAACAGGAAAAGGAGTACAGAAGGCGTGTAACAATGAAAAATCCTCTTCATACAAAGCTACTGCGCAAACAACCACAAATTACCTACAGCTAAAATCAACGGAGTCCAAGAAAAGAACAACAAACAATAATAAAAAAAGGTAGCAATTCTTTCTCACGGCACCATCTCTAGGAGATCCTCCCTCATTACCCGCACCCTCATCAGCTTCCGGCATTGTAGAGTCATATCCACAGTTTACACGAGCCTCTCGTGCCTACTCCCGTGCTCCATCATATGCGGCCTCAGTAACTTTGCCCACCTCCCACAAACTCTTGTAGATGTCACGCTGGGCTTCAGCATGAACCCAAAGCTCGTGCAAATGACGAGGAGCAGCGGCGGAGGAGGATTCGACTTGAGCCAACAGTTGCTCCTTTTCGGCCTCAAGAGCAGCGACCCGGTCCCCTAGGGTCGATGCCTCTCGGTCGATCTTGCCAATGCGCTCCTCAAGCCTCGCTTCCCTCAACGTGGCCATCGCCCTCTCCGATTCCTGCTCGAATTGGAGGACGCGGATGGTGTTCTCTAGTGCCACAGCCCTACGCCAAAGCCCGATGTACCAAGCACTCTCGATATTTTCCAAACCGGCAACTTTTCTCTCCAACTCGGTCAACTTCCCCATCCACTCCGAGCTCATCGCCTCGACCCTGATAAAGTTCTGATCCATCTCTGATTGCATAGACCTCAACTTCTCCTGAAGATGTTCGCACTCTGCAGCAACCCCTTTGCCCAGCTCAAGCTCTTCATCCTTGGCACGAAGTTGCTCCTCGAGTACACTACTCCTGCGGATAGCCTCCATCAGTTGCCGGTCCCTCTTCTCCAGCTCCTCACCGAGGGATCGAGCATCAGGGTTCACCCTCAGCCGCTCGTGCATCTCATGGCACTTATCGCGATAGCGCCGATATTTCCCCAGCATCCTCAGGAAAATCTTGGCCCGAGTATTAGCTCTGCGAGCACTCTCAATCTCCACCAGGTATGTCTGGAAAATGAAAAAACATGCTAAGGCCAGGCCGGCAAGAAAAATGAAAGGAACATAAAAGGAAAGTGAAACGTACCCTCAAGCCCATAGTGGCCACTTCGTGCATCAAATCGATATCGGGAACGTTCTGAAGAGCCTCACTCTCGGCGACGGAGCACAAGAGGTCAAACTGCGGCACCAGGTCCTCCGTATCTCCAAAAGGTTGATATCTGACGGAATCTCTAGAATATGGGACGACCTTCCCACCTGAACCACCAAACGGGTAAGACCCTCCTCAAACATCCTAACATCATCAGGATCAAGATCAGACTCGGATTCGTGGTCGTCGACCACGATACCCTTTCCCCTTTCTGTGGCCGAGGAAGAAGCACGACCAGGTATCGAGGACAAAGGTCCGTCCAAAGTAGTAGCAGCGGCCTCAGAAATCTGACCCCCCGCCACGGCCGGTGGTAGATTGACCACAGCGGCGGGAACTTCCGTCGATGGGTCGGACACGGTAACTGGCACCGCCTCTATAGGCAGAACGACATCGACTCCCGCCTCAAATCCCGTCAAGGGAAGGTCTTCCTCTAAATATACTCACAGCTAAAGGAGCCGTTTCGAACTCCACTCGCCGCCTCTTTGATGGCTCCTCTCTTTCCTCGGCACGGGAAGATTCCCTCACCAGGGAGGTGACAAGGGCTGACCTCTCAGGTCGAGGGGTGACCTCCGCGCGTACGGGCGTAGCCGTAGATTCGACTGAAGCGGCCCTCGATGAAGGCCGGGTAGTAGATGCCAAAGCAGGACGAGCGGACGAGGCAGGTTGACAAAAAGCTAATGAAGGAGCGCTCGCTCTCCGCACTCTTCCCGGCATCGACAAACATCACATAAGAAACCAAGTAAAAAGGGAAAGAGAAGGAATAGCGAACAAAGACAATATTACTCACCAGTAAGGGGCTTGCGTCCATACTTCTCATAGAAAGACGACCATGTACGGACACCCGCCGTATGAGGAAGGATGGCGCCCACCCACTCGCGGATACCATCAACAGGTGCAGGAGGCAGCTTCGCGGCTGTAAAAACACAGTTTAGTATTACAAAAAGGGGGGGCAAACATTATCCCGACAAAAGGCATATAAACTTACGGGCGAAGTTCCATTTCTCAGGGAATCCCGTAGGATCCGCCACAAGGTGTTCGGTCCGCACATAAAAGTAATTCTCGTAGAAGTGACGGTTGGCTCTATCGTCCATCTTCACCACCAGACTCTTCGTCCCTCGGTGACACATATGAATCATCGTGCCACGAATGAGTTGAGGGGCGAAAATATTGAGCATATGCCTCAAAGTGATCTCACGACCAGCAAGCTCCACAAACTTGAGTAGCATGAGGAACTATTTGTACAGGTACGACGAAAGTTGCGCTGGGCATACCTCGTAAAAGCGGCAAAAATCTACCACCAAGAGAGGGAGAGGAAGCGTGTATCCGACAATAAAGGGGTAGGCGTAGAACGCGCAATACCCCGGGCGGTCAAAATGGACTATGTCATCCCCCACCGCCGGTAATATTTCAACGTGGCGAGGAATCCCCCACCTAGCCTTCAATTCTACGATCCCCTCCTCAGTTATGACGGACGGAGCAGGTTCCGGCTCCTCCCCGGTGGGGCTGTGAAAATCGCTCCACGCTTTTCCAGGGCGAGGCAAGATCTCAGCCACCGACGGGACCTCCTCATCTTCTACCACTTCTGCTCCTCCAGTGGCTAGAACATCATTTTCCGGCACCGGAGTGGGGCAGAAAGGTCAGCGTGAGAAGAATTGCCAGCCATTTGAATCAATTTGATAAATCAAAAGGATAAAGAAAAGGAAAGACGAAAATTCCTGGCCAACTAAAGGAAATCAAAAATCCGAAGTATCGGGAGGAAAGAGGATTCGCAAAGTTTTCTTAGGCAAAGGCAAAGAATGGGTCAAATCGAATGGTGCAGTCCTATTTATAAGAGACACAAATTTTCCAAGCACGAAATCCAAGAGTCGCCAATTGAGGTTGATAGGGCATGAAACGGTTCAACTCCCTAGGAACGTATGTCATAATGGCAGGTAACCATAAACAACGCTTCAAGACAAACGATGTTCAGGTTCCAAAACAACCGAAATGGTTCGAGGATATCGAAAAGACGCCGTCGCATTTCCAGAATCTAAAGACCATACCCAAGGGATAGGTGGTCAGATTTCTCTTAGATACATAATAATCATAATCCGCCTACTAGGCCCGACAAAAGACGACCCTGGTAGACAGAGGGACTAATTGTATTGGTCAAAATCTGATCGCTGCAGTCAGCTTGACCAAGACCTCGTCCAAGTGACGGGATAGTGAAAGACGACATGATTTGCTCCAAAACCCTAGACTCATAACGCCCACCATGACAAAGAACGACACTAAGGGAACGACGAAAGTGGACGTTGTGCAAATCTGTATTGACCCATAGCGAGGGTTCCACAACTATATATAGGGACTGAGTCTTTCAATGCAGGGGGCTGGGGGTTCTCTCTTTCTCTCTCTTTTTCTCTCATTTGTAATCTCCATGGTTAAAGGAAGAACGAAGCAATCTCCAAGAGAACATGTAAAATGGTTTCATTCATTGATTAATGAGATTCATTGTGGAGATTTCAATAAGATTGGTTACCTCTATTTCATCTTATGTATCGTTTTTCCCAATTAATTTACTAATCTGGAATTTATTATGTTTAACTAAGATTTACTCCTTCATTCTCTTTGATTGATTTGTTCAAAAAGGTTCCAATATCTTTTGAATCAAACAGTACCGTCTTAGGAATTTTATGATGGAGGTGTCAACTTATGAGCTGTAAATTTTCTGTTTTTTTGGGTTTCTATTGCATAATTCTAGTTGTATTTTCTACAAAAATAGATACCATTTCAGGAGTTTTACAATAGAGTTGTCCAATTCTGATACTTAGTGATCTTTTATTTTGGGTTTGTTTTGTTTTGCATAGTTCTGGTGGTATTTTGCTCTAGGAATTTGATATCGTTTTTGGAGTCCGTAAGCTCGAATTGTTGATTTCTTATGCTTATTGTATGGATGTATGTATGGCCGAGAGTTGAAGGTGGTGAAAATGGTGGTGATGGTGAAGGAAGGGGTAAGATAGGTTGTAGAAGAGGGGTATATTTGAACCATTAGATTAACGTCGGGTACTTTTATACTGAAAATATAACAGAGGGTAACTATGATTCATTTCTAATAATAATGGGCATATTTGACGCTTTTCCCTTGGTCCCCCCCCCCCCCCCTCTTTTGGTGCCATCAATAACAAACAAACAAAAAATTAAACCCAAAATAAACGAAAAAAAGGGGGAAAGATCTAAAGGTGCCCATGCCGTATTCAATTTGTCTTATAAATATCTTTCGTTAATTTATTGTCTCATAAACATTCTCATTGTTATTTTTTATCCTAATTTTACCCCTAACTCTAAAGGTTTTCTATATTGGTTTGAGGAGGTTTTTTAAATTTAAAAGGAAAAAAAGTCTAAATTTTGCCGCCTAATTTTGCCATCCGTTGATAGTTAGGGTCAAATCGAGCCCTTACAACACTCTTATTTACTAACAGCTGAAGCTTTGAGACTAATTAATAATCTCTAATCTTAATGTTTAGCACTAAGAATTGTCTTGCGGCTCATTTTAATCCCAATTTTTTTTTTAATATTTCCTTTTATTTTTCTCCTTCCTCTTGTCCAATCATCCCAAAACAAACTAATTGACAAAAAAGATTAAAAAAGAGTGGCATAAAAGGCATTCTACGAAAAGCTAGTACTACAACTCTAGTATTACAGACCGAACTTCTCAGTCACTCTTTTTTCTCCCTATGGGTTATCGGCTTCATCATTATAATCACATTCTCCCCATTTATTATAACCCTTTTCCTCGCCTCTTCTCTTTTCGCTTCAATTTCAGGTAATTTTTTTTACATTCACATTAATTTTATCACTACAATGTTAAACATACGAAATGCATATAACCAATTTTTTCTTAAAATTGATGACCCATTTTACTTAAACAGAGTGTGGTGTTGCAGCCAGAGTGGTAAAAATCAGGCACAAATGGAGCAAGTAGTTGTTAATGGCTCAGAGTCACATTTAGTTGTAGTGGATAATCCTAATTTGTTGCAAAAGAAAATTTCTGCAATTCGCCTTGCCGGTCCTGCAAAGCTCCAGGTTTGTTTCGTTTTTTTTTTTAATTTTGTTGGGTGATGAATTTTGATTGAGAACAATGCAATGATTCAGCTTCAGTCCGAAACGTCATTCATTACATGTGTTTGTTCACATTACTTATTTAGTTGGATTTTTATTTTTTTGAGTATATGTATTCATTAAGTATTACACTTTCAAGTCTGTAAAAGAAAATTGTATTTAGAAATAAATTAACTTTAAAATTATCATTTTACACTTAATGAGATAATTTATAATCACATAAATATCTATGCCTTGTTTTATACCAGAAGCTTCAAAAGTCTTAATTTCTTAAACTTCGTGTTACAGAGGTAGTATCATTTCTTTGGGTATAATTGCACTTTTGGGTCCTTTAGTTATGGGTAAATTCTGATTTTGGTCCTTGTTATATTTCACTTTTCATATTTAACATTGAATTAGTTAAGGTGTGTGTTTTCGCTCCTTTTACATAGTAAATATGTTATATTTAGACCAATATTACCTTCTAATATAGAGTAACAATATAAATTTTACATAATGCATGGTTAAATTAAATAGTTTAACAGTCAGTCATTTGTCGAATTTGTGAAGATTCACTAGCAGAAGGATTAATACTGCACATTTCGATTAATTGAAGGTTAAATGTGTCTAACCAGATAAAACAATGACCAAAATCAGAATTTGTCGATCGTTCAGGGAGTAAAAGTACAAATACAACGATGTCTGAATTTAAGACATTGCTGTATTGCTTGTTAATCTGATCAATGTACTTTTTTATAACTTGTATGATAAAATGTTTCCCCTTGAAGAAAGTTGTTATCTATGGAGCATTGGTGTTAGTCTTGGGTTTATGTTTAGAACTTCCTCAATAACTTATTATTTTCACAGTTAAAGCTTTATTCTTTATCTTGCGTGTGAGGATGACATTCTCCTGCTTCTTGGCTGTGATGTTGAATTTGTGATAAGGTGAAATTTTAAGTGGTTGGTTGAGCCTTTACCGACATATACCAATCTCTAGGCCCTTATATAAACTACAATGAAAGTGCGCATCTGAAGTATTGGTTGCTTGCAAGCAGGATATACTTTTAGAAGTGAACTATAATAGGCTGGATTTGTATAAATCATGGCATGCTTCCTGAAAAGTTCTGTTATTGAGGATCAACTATAACCAGCTTTCCCAAAGTTTCTATCTGATTTTTAACTTCTTTTAAGTGGTCAAAATTATTTAAGATTTGGTTAATTAAGGGCTACATGTGCTGAGCTCATTGCCTCTGGTACTTCCTGGGCGTGCTTGCTTAATTGCATCTGGAAAGCGGAGGTCAGATCTTATATCAAAGTAAGCACTTCTATGGTCTTGAGTTTGAACTGATACTGTTTGTCGACTTGATCTTGGTAATGGTCTGTCTAGATCCAAGTAGGAGCGGATAGTTATATAGGTAACTTTAATAGAATGGAGATGAGAAACACGAGGACGAGTTAGGGTGCAGGACATACAATTATTAGTCCTGGTTATTCCAGCCTAGTGCTATATCAATCTTTTCTTGTGCGCTGTTTTAAAATCAAATTATGGATGTTGAATCTTATGCAGAATCTACTTGTCAGTTCCATATGGTATGGCAGGACGCTGTAACAGTCGGCTCCGTGTTTTGTATGACCTAAGTCCAGAACCATGAGCATTTGTTAATAGAAATTACTTCTCTTAGATACAGTCTCAAACATGTGTGTGCACACATACCCATGCATATTTCACCTTGTTCTAATTGCTTTTTCCTTTTATGTACTAAACTATTTCAACATCCTAGGTAATTGCAGATTTCGATGCCACATTGACAAAATACTGGATCGATGGTTGTCGAGGCCAAAGTATGTTATCCACTTCATACAACATTGTCCTATTATGATAGCTTGGCTGGAACAGACTGCATATTCAATATCATACACTTCGATATATGCTCCTTAGGGCTTAGGTCACAAGTGAATGACTTCTCAAGAAAACAAATTTTGTAGGCAGTCATAATCTTTTACAGCAGGAGGATCCTGAGTACAACGTCAAGAGGCAGAAGTTATATGATTACTATCATCCCTTAGAATTTGATCCGGCTATTCCCCTTGATGAGAAAGCCAAGCTCATGGTAGAGTGGTATGTGTTATGATTTTGTACTGCTATAATCGGGTTCAGACTCATCTGATATATAGCATTTCCTTGAGTTTATGACAAGTGAAATGTGAAATACGTAAATTTGAAGTTTCATGGATAATATTTATATTCTTGTAGATTGTACGAGTACCATGGCCTATGTGTTAATGCAATTCAAATTGGTGAATGTGAATTGGTGAATTTCAAAGGATTGTAGTACCATGGCCTATGTGTTAATGTCCAATTTATTTTCTGCAGGTGGGAAAAAACACATGCTCTTCTCATTGAAGGAGGCCTTACATACAATGCAATTCAAAATTCCGTGGCTAAAGCCACAATTGCATTCCGAGATGGTGTAACTGAACTTTTTGAACTTTTAGAGGTACAGTATTGCCACCATCAGCTGTTGTTTTCTGAGACTTCTTGAGATGATGTTTGATGAATGTCAATGCAACATGTATGATCCATTGGGATTTTCTCGTGTGATTTGAAATTTCTGTTAGAAAGAAAGCTGATGGTTTAGTTCAACGAAGAGCTAAAGTATAGATATAGGACCTATCTAAGATGTTAAGAACCTTATAGGAAATGCTTAGATTATTTCTCTTTACTTTCTGCTTTTGTTTTTTGTTTTTCGACCTTTGAAAGTCCTAGAATATCAGGCTTAACCACAGTTCAAATATTGTTTTAGAGAAAAAAAAAGTTGAATGCTGATGCCAAAGTTATTAGTCAATTTATCCAAGAATAGCTCTTCTCAGAAGAGTTTCCTTTTGACCTTCTACTCTTTCCTATGATTGCTTCATAATGAGTCGGATCTGTTTGATATGCAGGAAAAAGGTGTCCCTGTTCTTATATTCTCTGCAGGTTTAGCTGACATAATAGAGGAGGTTAGTTCTTCAGGCTTGTCAGTGGTCTTGATGCATAACAGGTGGATGCGATTGTGTCACATTTGTCCAATTTGGCTTTAGATACAATGTCCCTCATCTTCTTGATTTGGCAGGTGCTGAAGCAGAAAGTTCATAGATCTTTCAAGAACGTTAGAATTGTCTCCAACAGGATGGTGTTTGACGAAAATGGTCGCCTACAGTCATTTAAAGGTATTACGTATCGCCTTTAGAGGTGTTCTTTTCGCTTACTTTAAAAAGTGCTTTAAGCAGTTTCCACTGATGGTTTGATTCATAATAAATCTGCATGCGCTACCAAATTTTAGCTATTCCTCAAAGTTTGGGAATTGCCTTTCAGGTTGTAAGTTTAAGCTTCAATGGAGGCATAAGCTGCTCTACTTATGCCTCCTTGGAGGAACAAGTAGATAAAGAGTTTTATTTTCTTATATTCTGACAATATAAAGAATATAAAGAATTTAAGCTATCAGGTTATTTAATTACCAACCACAGGCGATTTTCTGTAGTGTGGTTAGTAGCTTAAAAAAGAGGGTAGTTAGTTGTTACTGGATCAATTAGTCATTTTTTAACATTGTTGGTGTATATAAGACCTTATCAAAAAAATAAATATAAAATTGGTCTATATAAGTTAAATTCACTATTTAAAAGTAACACGCTTGTAGTAATATAGAATGAAAAATACCTTTGTCATTTATGTTTAGTAAAATATCTTGAAACATCTGAGTTTACTTGTAAAAAATAGCTCCTTTTAATCTTTAAGAGACATTGAAGTATAAAAATTTGTAGTTCAAAATATTACTTATACTGTTTTGACTCAAAACAAATGCCATGGTTATCAAAAAAAATGCGGGTCAAACAGTCTAATTTTTGGATTTTGGGATACATGGATATCTTTTAAAAATAGAACTTTCTAAATAAAGTACTACCGACCGACCTTCTTGAAGATTTAAAATATTTAAAGAAATATTTTAACTCTTCGTCAAGAAAAGTGCAGTAATTGTGTCATAAAATTGGGATAAGGGTAGTATAGTACTCTCTTTAAGAAAAAAAAATTATTTGTTGCGTCCTCACATTTTTAATATATTAATTTAATAAGATTAAAATATTAAATAGCTAAATTATTACAAAATCTATACTGACAATTATTTGATAGTTCCATCTGACTAAACCATGGTAGATAGAGTTGTTCTACACTCGTGCTGGTAGGAAGTAGCAGGTAACCTAGTGGATTAGTGGAGGTGTGCACGAGTTAGCCTAGATACCAGACTTTTTACAACAACAACTAACCCAGTGAAATCCCACAAGTGGGGTCTGGGGAGGGTAGATACCAGAGCTTTTAAGAAATGAAAAAGGGAAGATAGTCCCTATTCTTATTCTGGATTACTTCAACACTATCTTTAGTTTATTTTGTACGTACAACTATTAAAACATAATTTTGCCGACAAATAAACTTAAACCATTTATTATATTTTTTTCCAATCAAATAGATAAAGGAGATATTAGCTGTAATTAAGAATTTGCTATTGTTACACTTGGTAGGGGTAAGTGTATATTTAGAGAGTCACTAGTTTGAGAGAGCTCCTAATTTGCCTAAAAACACATTACTTACTAATATCACAATGAAATATGTCCAAATACAACGGACTATCACTATACAAAGGATTCAAATCAGCGACCCCAAGTAGATTGGTACATAAAGGCCTAGTTGATTGACTGATTTGATTGGTTGGAACAAATAAGGACGAGTTCTTTTATGATGTTTTTGAATTTGAATTTTTTCCCAATAAATACGAGTTTGTCCTCCATAATTTTGGACATTTATAAGGGTTATGTAAGTATGGAAATCTGAATCATGAAAACACATGAACACTAAAAGACTACATAATTAAGGCTCTTCTATGTAGTATAGATTAGTTTAGGAGTGGAGTTCAAGCGCTGTAATGAACTAATGAAGTGATTAATATCTGATCACTGCTGAACATCTTGATCCTAGTGTAGTTACTGCTAGATACACTAAGCTTTTACACATATTTGGTTTATACTGGAACAGGGAGGCATATCAAGCAAAGTAAATTGCACGAATATTTCTTGTATTGTTGGTCATTTTATCCTTTTTTCCCCTTCTTTAATTAAGAACACTAACTGATTCCTGCAGGTAAGACAATCCATGTACTCAACAAGAATGAGCATGCACTTGACATGGCCGCACCACTTCACGATCACTGCGGTGACCTGAATGGACTAGGTGATGAGAAATCTTCATTAAAGAAGAGAACCAATGTGCTACTTCTTGGTGACCACATTGGAGATTTGGGAATGTCTGATGGCTTGGACTATGAATCAAGAATATCTGTGGGTTTTCTGTAAGTATCTCACTCATCATGTCTGCTTATTCATCAAATTCGAACAAAACTAACAGAGATATCAGAGAACAGGCAACATTATACTGCTCATAGAATGAGTACATTTTTTTTCCTTTAAAGAATTAATACAGTTGCCAATACCTCAAACCACTTAAATAAGCTAGAGAGAGAAGTAGAAAGTTTGAGAATGTGTGTGAGCAATCACCTCATGACCTCAAGTTGGTGACGATATCCAAGCTTATTGATTGTAATTATAATTGTTGTAACACCATATTAGAGAAATTAGGTGCTCACATCCCAAAATCGAAGTAGGAATGGTGTTCCACTATCAATTAAATTTGCAGTCTTTTTCAGTCATAAGGCTTTGACCTTTCCTTGATAAGCTTCCATTTTAGATATCTTCAAATTTGTCAAGTCATTAACAATAAGATGAAATGAGTTGGTGATGACATACAAAGGTTTATTCCAACTACAAACAGTTAGCCCGACTTTCTAAATGGATAAAAGCTGAAGTAGAAGAATTGACGACCGGAAGAAATACATTAGTGAGCATCAGTTCTCTCTGGCACACTTTTTTATTCTCTGAAATCTTGAAGAGTTCTAGTTAGATGGTTGACAACTCCTTGTTGTATGACTTATTTTTCAATGGTAAAGGAAGGACTTACTCCGTTGAAGTGCTCCCTCCCTAACTAGTTTGGGGTAGGAGAGAGTGAGGGTATACTGCGAAGCTTTCCCCTTGCATTTTACTAAGAGGTAGATTTTATCCTTCTCCACTTAAATACCAGACCTGATTCATGACAGGATTCAAACTTGTAACTTGCGTCTGCCATGCATCCGTGCTGTACTACCTTTGCCATTTAACTAAAGTTCTGGGGACAATTTGCCACAGATTTTTTCAGTCAGACTTATAAGATTACCATAGATACGAGGATATGTGTAATAGTAGGAGTGAAGGTGGGTACCAAGTAGCCGTAGGTAGGGTGGGGATAGCAAGAGTTGATTGGAGTGACTGATTTGCCTAATCTATTCTGAACTGATAAAATACCCCTTCATAAGAAAAGCAAAAATATCATATTGCTTATTGATGTTTTTGTAATTCAGTGTACAGTAGATTATTCTTCTTCAAAACCCCTACCTATTAGCCAAGGGTGGCACTTATTCAATTTTGCTCTCTGGGTAACTTAAACCCCCCAACCTGATGGTTGGACTTGGAGGTGGAGGATCTTTACCCCTAGGCTATCCCTCCCTTGATTTCAATGGTAGTAGTTCTATTATGGATAAGATTCCAAAGTGATGTATTTAGCATCTGAAGGTGGTTGATTGCAAAATATGACTTCTTAACTGAGCCAAGATATTGTCCTTTTGCATGCATATCCATTTTGAAATCATCTTGATGTAGAATAAAATATATGTTTACAGGTGAATTGGGTTGTTTTATCCTTACTTGTAATCTTTTCATAGGTCAATAAGCTCCCAATTTATACTTTTCACTATTTTGGAAACAGGAGAAAATTGTTGATTTGTGGATTTTATAGAGTTCGTGATTATTAGGAGATTGTCCACTGATTGCCTGCTGAAGTTCGAATAGATATACTTTCCCAGAGTCTTTGACCTAATAGTTTGCCAAGATATTTTCTTATGACACGAACTTCTTCCAGAGTTTTGTATTACAATTTTTTGTAATGTTGTTTCTTCTTTGTCACTCCAAAAAAGAAAAAAAAAGAGTATAAAGAGTAATTCATTAGGGGCTTTTGGTTTGACTATGCTTTTCAACTTCATTTAGGGCATGTGATAGAAAGTGCACTGAACTGACCTCCGTATCATTAAGAAATTGTAGACATGTTTCAGCTATACTTAATATTGGGTTAACAATACAGATCCTCAAAATGTTATTTTTCTTGATAAATGCTTCCAGTTTCCATCTTCTATGTCAAATGCAAATGGTGAAAATCCCTTCTCTGTGCATAGAGGCTAGAGCTAATAAAAATGGTGCGGAAGTCAAAGCATAATGAAGTTTGCTCCTCTCATGTTCTCAAAGCATGAGAACAAGACCAGACTTACAGCTGTATGACATTTTAGTCATGTTGATTTTACTGTCTAATTGTCCTTCTCTTATCTTAGACCAAGTAGCGTATGCTGGCAAACTTTAATGTGCTATAGTTGCTAAACTTACAAGAGATTGTTGCAGGAATGACAAAGTGGAAAACTCTCTAGAAAGCTACCGAAAAGCTTTTGACATTCTCTATCTGGTAAGAAATGCTTTAATGAACTTTTTGTTTGATCGTTCTCCTATTATAAAATTGCTTGTCATTTCCCTAGTCTAGTGTCCTCACACCTCTTTCTTAAATTGTAGAATGATGCATCGATGCACGGAGTAGTCAAGCTTGCGTGTCATCTCTGTTCAACGGAAAGCAATTGAGTTGCACACATTGCTCCTCGCAAGACTCAATTTCCCTGTCTTGGATTGGCATAAAGCACGAATGACTGCTACATTTATCGTGTCAAGAAAATTTCCATTAAAGAGAATAGGAAGGGAAATTCATAGCAACATTCCTAATATCAACAGCTTCTCAACATCTGTTGTCACATGAAGGTTTTAATGGTTTCTCATCTTTTACCTTATTATATTTTTACACCTTAGGGATTTATTGTTGGACTAACAAGCTACAATTTTGTATTTTTTAGACCTTGCACTCTTTTTACATATGTTGGTTCCAAATGGAACGGAAGGTTATATTTTTTGTAACTGAACTGATAAATATTTCACTGTCTTGAGTTTATGTATTCACGTTCGCAATCTTTTTTGTATCTTTCGCATTTTTTAATAGGGAAAACTACCCTATATACCTACCTAATCAAAAGAAATTACCCCTAATTACCCATTTTAAAAGTAATTACACAAATACCTATTCTATTACAACTAATTACCCACCCAACCCAATAAATAATTAGCTTTCCTTTTTTATCTCCTCATCAATTCTCGCTGCTGCAGCAAACACTTTTAAGAAGTTTCAAAATTAATTTTTCTCTTTTACTCCATGAAAAATCACAATGCTCAATCGGAAGTTCGATCGCAAAAGATATAGCATTTGTATGTTGTTAGTATTGTACCTTTTTCTTGCTATCATTACCCTTTTCTTTATCCATAATTTATTTTATCTCCTAAAAGTAAAACAAAAAATAATATGTACTGTCTAACTAAAATTTGAATTTTCATGTGTGTTGAAGTGTTTGCTGTTGGAATTTATTGGATGTTGTTCTTTGATTATGATATTAATGCTAATTTTCAAAGATTTTATTGTGAGAAAATTAAATCCATCATTGAAGGATCTTGAAACTTGAAACTCATAACTTGGTTTGTTTGAGTTTTTAATTGTTTTGATCCTATCCTGTATGGGTTTGTTTGGAAAGTTGATTGGAGGTTGTAGCTAAAGTTTTAGTCAATTTGGTGGAGATTTTGTAGTAGATTTTAGAAATTTGGGTTGAAATATAGTTGAACCAGAGAAGACGAATTTTATATTGTATACCCAAATAGTATACAAATATACCATTTTGGTATACAATTCATTCCAACTATATACACTATTAGTATAGCTATATACTATATTAGTATCATATGCTAGTTGAATCATTTTTTGGTTGTATTAGCTGCATTTAATTGGTACAATATTTGATTTTCTTTTAATAATAGTAATATAGTACAATTTCTTGAAATACTTTATTATATTAATATGTGGTACACTATTTTTTTATTTTTCTCTTTAGGCATGTTTGTTATGTAATAGTAGTATAGTCATATAGTTGCCGGGAATTAACCAATAAAACTGTATACCATGTTGGTATAGTTATATGCCATGTTGGTATCATATGGTAGTTTGAACATTGTTTTGGTTGTTTTAGCTGCATTTTAAGTGAATTCTATTATGAAATTATTTATATGAACATGATTTGCAGTGCTGGAATTTTTGTGTGCAGGTGGACATAAATTATGTGTATTATGTAATAATTTTATAGTTATAGGCAATTGTTGGAATGACCCCATACAACTATATACCCTGTTAGTATACGGAATGAGCAAGTTGTTTTGCGAATATTTAGCTTGCAATACGAGCATGTAATTTTCTCATACTTTTATTGCGTCCTTTAATGTTTTGGTACAGTAGTATAGTCGCAGATAGTTGTAGCAATATTCTAGAGAAATCATATCCGTTGTTGGTATACATATATACCATATTGGTATCGCATGGTACTAGAAGTCTTTTTTGCTACTTATACTTTTATTGCTTTTTTCAATATTTTATTATCATTTTTACTCTAACTAGTATATATGGAGATTTGGTTGCTGTAGATTATGTTTCTTGCTCTATAACTGGTTGTATTACTGCTAATGGTAGAGTGTGTAATGATATTTGTAGGGAAGGAGATCAAGGTTTGCATGTCAATCGTGTGTTGATTCTTAGAATCTGATTATGTAATTTATGGTGCTTAGCTGCAGTCAGTGTGATATTCAGTGAATTAGATCAAGTGACAACTGATATTATTTCAGTTTGATAATTGAATTTAAATGTACTAGTTATATTAGAAAAAGGTGAACAAATATTTACAATATCAATTATTTTTCTTATTGTATAAAAAAAGAATAATAAAAATAGTGAAAATAGTAAATAAAATTAGATTATGAAGAGAAAAAGAACACAAAAAAAGAAGTTAAATGAAATTAAAAAAGGAATAAAGAAAAAAATAAGAAGAAAACGAGAAAAAAAAGGAGAAAAGAAAGAAAAAAAGGAAAAAAGAAAAGAAGCATAGAAATAAAAAAGAATTGGAGAAAAGAGAAAAACTTCCCCATAAAATTACTATGTGTAGGAAATGTAATTAGTTTGACGGGTAGGAAAACAAATGTGTAGACAAGGATAAATAGTTTTATTTTTGTGGGTAACTGTGTCATTCTCCCTTTTTAATATTGATTGTAGTAGATGCATCATATTCTCTTTAGGCTAGCGGAGCCCACAATAAGGTAAAGGGTCTCGGGATATGTTATTAGGATATTTACCTTACTATGTACTATTTGAAACCTTATTATCCTTCTTACTCAAGTTTCAATATAATTATACAATTTACCAATTATATACAAATAAGTTTTAAATGAGCATCCTTTTATATTAGGAATAGAATAAGGAATATCAATTATTTCCTTTTCTCTTTATACTTGCCTCTCTCTCTCTCTCTCTCTCTCTCTCTCTCTCTCTCTCTCTCTCTCTCTCTCTCCTACTTTCTTGTTGTATAGAGTTTTAATGGAA